ACTCAGGTTTATACTTATTCCTATTCTCTTGTAAGCGATGGACAAATGAAATAATAAATAAATGAAGAGATGGTCTCTTCAAGTGGCTCTCTGTCTGAGACCAACTCTCCACTCCGCAGGGCAGGATAGAAAAGATGTAGCATCTGACAAGCCTGATTTTTTTTCTACAGCCAACTGTACAGTTATTTCCCAGCCTGGGGAGAACGGAGATCTTGAGTCCTTGCATGACGATGCTACAGAGGGAAGGTTAGGGTCCTTCTTTTCCCATCACCAGAACCATCTGGGGGATTCCAAACAGAGACTTTGAAGAGCGAAGCCCTTGGCAATCTGGTAGATCAATCTGTTGGTTCTGTTTCCTCCCGTGTTTCTGCGGGTTAGCTATTTTGTCAAGCTAGGCCTTGTACAGTCGATTTGGGGAAGTTCTCCTTTAGAGAAAGGAAGTGTGTGAAATTGCCACCCCCTTTTTCAAGATGCAGTGGTTTCGTGCATGAGATTGCTCCTGATTCTGAGGAAACCTGTGTCTGTCAGTAGACCTTATTTTGCAACGTGCGGCATGTGAAGAACGCTCAGCCTCCTCTTCAGCAATGTATCTTCCACCTTGTTTGGGTACCAAGTGGGAAGTCTACTCTTGGCTGCCTTTCTAAGAAGACCCCCCCTCCTTGGCATACCTGGATCTCTTTCTCAGACTCTACAGTTCTAGAATTCGCAAACAGCCCGATCATACGGGCTGGAAATGTTATTCAACATGTCTGGAGGATACCAGATGGAAGGAGGCAACTGACCAGTTATGGACAGGAAGACTAAGGTCACGCACAGAATTTGAGGAAGGAGTTCTGTTTTTCTTCCATGAGGTTCGTTGAGGTGGCCTAAAGCACTTCCAAGTTTTGTTTTTTAGGATTACATGACAGTTTATGTAATCAAGATGTTTCCAGTAAGTTGTTCCGAGGTTTGCATAAGGGAATTATATAATTTGATATTAGATTATAATGTTGTAATGTTGTAAGTTAATACTAAGAGAGCCGGTTTGGTCTGGTGGTTAAGATACCAGGCAAGAAGGCAGAAGATACTGAATTCTAGTTCCATCTCAGCCATGAAAGCTGGCTGGGTGACTTTGGGCCAATCACTAGGAGACCGGGAGTTCTAGTCCCGCCTTAGACATGAAAGCCATCTGGGTGACCTTGGGCCAATCACTAGGAGACTGGGAGTTCTAGTTCCACCTTCGGTATGAAAGCAGATGAGTGACTTTGGGCCAATCACCAGGAGGCTGTGAGTTCTAGTTCCATCTTAGCCATGAGAGCCAACTGGGTGACATTGGGCTAATCACCAGGAGACTCTTGAGTTCTGATCTCACCTTTGTCATGAAAACCTCCTGGGTACCCTTGTGGTGATTGGTCTCTCTCACAGGGTTATTGTTGTGGGCAAAATAAGAGGAGGGAGGTTTACTGTATATATTTGCCGCCTTGAGTTATTTGTAAAAATAACAAAGATGGGATGCAAATAGATAAATCAATAAATACATGTTGCATTGTCTGATGTTTTATTTACAATAGAGATAGATAGTACTTGTATCTGTTTTTATCAAGAACAGTTTGGTGTATCATTAAGTGTTGTACGTTATGATTCTTGACGAATGTACCTTTTCTTTATGTACACTGAGAATATTTACACCAAGACAAATTCCTTGTGTACCTAATCACACTTGACCAATAAAGTATTCTAATGGCCAAGGCACCAGGCTAGAAATCAGGAGACAGTGAATTCTAGTTTTGTTTTAGGGATAAAATTCAGCTAAGCTGACTTCAGGCCAGTCACTCCCTTCTTAGACCGAGACAGATTACAATGTTGTTATAATGGGGAAAATAGGAGGAGGAAGGACTATTAGGCCTTGAATTATTTATGTAAATGATAAAGGCGGGGAAAAAAAATCAATAAAATCTCATGCAACGTGTGAAACATAAAGTTAAATCTTTTTGCTAAAATAAATAAGAGAAAGATGGGGAAAACCAAAGCAAAGCTAATCACTATAAATTCTCCATTGTTGAATATTTGCTAAGGTCTTGTATTCAGTAAGCTGCATTCTAATTAGTAGTTAATCAATGATATGCAGTGTGAAAATGTAAGTAGTGCCGTCTGGCACATTTTTTTCCCAGTCAATGTGCTCGAAACAGCCTTGCAATCTGGGGAAGGTCTCCCCTTCCTTCCCCTCCTTCAACACAATCCTGGGTGCCAAAGTGTGAAAGGTGCTTACAGGTGTGAAACTAAACACTTCCATTCTGAGACCGGACAAAAGCTCCTGCACCCTAAAGGCCGACTTGAGGCTAGACTGGAAAATTTGCTGATCTCCTCTCCTTTCTCCTTCGAGCGCCCAGCGTTTGACTCTAGTTCTGGGCCATCTGCTCTCGGGGAGGGTCAGAGAAGCAATAACCCATGGTCCAAATATTTGTGTGGCCTTATCGTTACAGGCAGGCTTGGAGGTCTTTGAACTCTGCTGGCAGAGCGGAAAGAATAAGTCATGTTTCATGCACATCTGGAACAGAGCACCGCCAAACTTTTTCCCGTGGTGATTATAGGTAAGTACCTCTGGGAAGCAATCGGCAGATCCCAGCACGCTTATCTAGCAAAGCCAGCCTGTTCTTATCAGCCGCAAAGTGCTGGAGTTCCAAGAATTATGATTAAAAAAAGAACATCTATTTATATTCATTCTCTCTCTCTCTCTTTCTCTTTCTCGATCCTGTCAGTTTCCTGCATTTTGACCCTTCCTTCCTTCCTTCCTTCCTTCCTTCCCTCCCTCCCTCCCTCCCTCCCTCCTCCCTTCCTTCCTTCCTTCCTTCCTCCCTTTCTCCCTTCTACTCCTTGTCTCTCCCTCCTTCCCTCCCTCTCTCCCTTACTTCCTTCCCCTCTCCCTCCCTCCATCCCTTCTTCTCTTCCTTCTACTCCTTCCCCTCCCCTTCCCCTCCCCTATGAAAAACAAAACCCATCAACAAAAGAAACATCTATGGATTTGCTGCTTCCTTTCTTGGCCTTTTTCATGCAAAACATTTTTAAAAATATTGAAAACAAACTGGGTTAAAGATCTTGGCCCAGTTCACTTATAAGATGAGGTTGTCTTGTCTTCAGCTTGGCTAGGGAGATCTCCCCCCTGTTGCACATCACACAAGTGGAAATTTGTAGATGTAATTGTCTTTTAGCGGAGTAGGGAGGAGAGAGAGAGGTGGCAATGGGAAAGCTGTATGTGTTCTGACTTAGGCTTCCCCCAAGAGCACGAAGCCGAGTCGTCCTCCCGATAAAACCCCTTTTATTTGATTTACAATGAATTTCCTCTCCAACAAAGTCCCGGCCAATAGTATTTCACGATAGTTCCCAGTTACAAACCTTGATCAGGCTTGGAGAGGGGTCAGGTCTATATCTTTCAGTCGCCGCAGTAATTGGCACAAATGCAGGAATGTCTCCTGCAAAACCCCACTCCCCTTTCGCTCCTCTTTTATTCCCCATGGGAGGGGGTCATTCACCGTCCACCTGTGGCTTTACTCCCAAGTTGGCCCATGTTCCTCAGCTGTTCCCTTCGGCTGGCAGCTCTGTGCATGCGCACACTGGGAACAGGCTCCAGCTGTTCTTCTTCCCCACTGATCTCCGACTCTGAAGGCAGCTGATAACTGTCGGATGGCCCTGGTCCCATCTCTGCCTCCGATGCAGAGCCCTCATCAGAGCCTTCCCCAGACTCCAGGACTCGCCCATGTTCCACCCCAATCTTCTCACTGTCCGAATCTACTGCTAGCTCCAGGCCACAACAGTGTTATATCAGCTCTGTCCCATCTACATAAAGTCCTTTGCTTCCTTATTACGTATGAGGCAACAACGTGTTGCAGCTGCCCAAACTCCCAGTGCTGCCCTAGGCTGCATCAACAGAGGGATAGAATCAAGATCCCATGGTGTGTCCTTCAAACGGGCTATGCCTAGTCTAATGAAAAGAAAGTCTAGCGGTGATGTGACAGTGATGTTCCAATATTTGGGGGTCAACTATTCTCCCGAGGGCAGGACAAGAAGAAATGGATGGAAACTTAGCCAGGAGAGAAGCAACCTAGAACTAAGGAGGAATTCCCTGACAGGGAGAACATTAGAACAGCTTGTCTCCCAGAGTTGTGGGTGCTCCATCACTGGAGGTTTTTAGGAAAAGACTGCACAACCATTTACCCAGAATGGTGTAGGATTTCCTGCTGGAGCAGTGGGTTAGACTAGAAACTTCCCATGACCCCTTCCTGTTGTGGCCCGCCAGTCGCCAGCAGAGCTGGCGGCAGACTCGTACAGTGAGGAGGTTGGGGAGGAACATGGGCCACTCCTGGAGTCTGGGGAAGGCTCTGATGAGGGCTCTGCATCGGAGGCAGAGATGGGGCCAGGGCCGTCTGGCAGTTATCAGTTGCCTTTGGAGTTGGAGATCAGTGGGGCAGAAGAACAGCTGGAGCCTGTTCCCAGTGAGTGCATGCGCAGAATTGCCAGGAGAAGGGAAGGGTTAAGGAACAAGGGTCCACTCGAGAGTAAAGGCACAAGTGGACGGTGAATGGTCCCTCCCATAGGGAATAAAGAGGACTGAAAGGGGAGTGGTGTTTGCAGTAGACAATTAGTTCGTTTAATTAGTGTGAAGATTTGTTCATGACTCTCAGAGATTCTTTGCCAAGTATTTTCTTGTACGGTGTCGCACTTGGAAGCTATTGGCCTGGCAGCTCTCTAAGCCTGATAAGGTCCGTGATTGTAATTCACACTTAAAAGACTGTTTGCCGGGACTTTGCTGGATGAGAATGATAAGGAACTCACATTAGCCTAATAAAAAGGGGTTTTGTCCGGATGAGGAGCCTGCTTCGTGCTTTTGTGAAGATCAGAACACTATTATTCTATATCCTGTAGCTTTCTTCAGATACAATAAGTGCAAATGGAATTTTCCTACCTATAAAGATAAGCACCAAAGACTTCTGGAAGCTACAGAATGTTCTATTTAGACCTTTTGGGAGATGGATGAGCTCTTCAGTGGGGTGAAAAAAAAACTTGGCTGTAACAAGAATCAAGAAGGGTGGGGAAAATTTTGACTTCCAGCTGTTTTTACAACCTGGGGCCTGTGCCAGATGGAAGAGAATCCCCTATTCTCTCTCTCTCTCTCTTGCTGTGTCATGCTGACCTGCATGTTCCCCGGCTGTGACGCTTCCTTTTTAGCCACGAGGTTCCTGTGGCGAAGAGTAACAGATGGCTCTGTCTTAGCTGGTTTAAAAAAAAAAAAATTAAGCTGGCAAGAATCTGGCAGCTTTAGCAAACTGAACGCCTTCGTTCTCTCATCTAAACTATTTAGATTGGCAAATTGTCTCTTGAGGGAGGTAGTCCTCAACTTACAACAATTCACTTAGTGACAACACTGGGGGGAAAAAAAGTTCCAGGCCTAATAACCCCAAGCATTTGAGATTTTTCTCATAAGAAAAACGTATCTGCTCAAAACTGGAAGAGTGTTAAGATGCCAACAGAGGGAAAAATAAATTGAACAAAATATTTGAATGTGCGGAAATGAATAGATTGACACTAGAAATTAAAGAAAAAGAAGAATCTGAATATTATATGGTGTGGGACTTGTTTTATCAATGGATAGAAAATAGAATAACCTAAAAGGGATTTATCATATCAATAAAGTGATAAGAGGAGTTAATGGAATAGATATATAGATTGTATTTACACTATGGATATGGGAGTGTGATTACTGTCATGTTGTTAAGATGAACAAGAAGAATGTTGTTACTAATGGATAAGTAATTTGAAACATGTACTTAATCGACACACAGTTGAAATGGAATGGGGTCTTTTTGTATATTAACAAAATTTTAAAAAATTACAAAAAAAAGAAAAGAAAAACGTTACAGTCCCCAATGTTTTTTGGCAATTGTTCCAGCTTTCTTGCATCTTCATAAATGTGGCAATTAGAACTATGCACCCGAGTCCAGATGTGAATAGAGATTTCTCTATAAGTTCATTATACGGTTGGCCATTTTATTTGCAGCCCCTTTTTCTTCTTAGCCTAGGCTTCTGTCCACAGCTGCTCCATCATGGTGACATCAGCTGAGTCACTATCTTTGCAGGTAGTCCTTGACTTATGACAGTTCATTTAGTGACTGTTCAAAGCCAATAAAGGCCGTGGAAAAAGCGACTTACGACTGTTTTTCACAATTGCAACCTTTGCAGCTGCCTCATGAACCTGTGATTAAAATTCAGAAGTTTGGCAACTGACTCGTATTTATGACCGTCGCAGTGTCCTGGGGTCCCGTGATCCCCTTTTGCGACCTTCTGACAAGCCAAGTCAAGAGGGGGCAAGCCGGATTCACTTAACAACCAGGTCACTAGAATAGAATCAATGGAATAGAATCATCCCTCGACTGTCCTTTTGAATGTACGCTAATCGGCGTGCATTAAAGTGAAATTTCATTGCATGCAGCTCTCAAAGGACCACCACCTCCAATATAAACTACATAACAGAACAAACAAATAAACACAGATAAATACAGAATTATACCCCGCATATATTATATGTCACAGAGAAACAAATCCAGTCTAGTTTCAGCTGTACATGGTGAGAGGATTAACTTCAGGGAGTCACTTAATAACTGTGGCAGGAAATGCAAAATGGGGCAAACGTTTCCCTTAAGAAATGTCTCACTTAACAACACAAATCTTGGGCTCAGTTGCAATCGCAAGTCAAGGACCCCGGGACGCTGAAACCATCATCAATACTTGCTAGGTTCCAGGCATTCTTATTTTAATCCCGTGGCCACAGGGGATGCTGCAGTGGTCGTAAGTGTGAAAAATGGTCATAAGTCACTCTTTTTTTTTCTGATTATAAAATAAATCCGAGTTGTTCAGCTGGAATATCTTCAGGCAGGCTAAATGTGCGACTTTGATTTACCAGGGCTTGCCCTACAAAAGCCCCTTTTCTTATTTCTGGCTACGGACTCAGCTGGAGGGCTCTTACGTGTGAATTATGCCTCTTGTAGCTATGTAGCAAGTCAGCAGATTTGTTTTGAGGGTTGTGCAAAAGGAAGTGATCAAAAAAATAATAACAACGTTAAACAGGCACTTCCTTTTCCCAACAATGCAAAATTCAGATTTGCATTTGCTTTGCATACCTGATTTTTGATTTGCAACCAAATTGCAACGCTAGTCCATTCATTCCAGAGAAATTGGTTTGATAGAATAGGAGTGGAAGATAGGAGTATTTTTAAACAGATTAACAGAGTTGGAAGGGACTTTGTGGGTCATCTAGTCCAACCCCATGCCCAAGTGGGAAACCCTACACCATTTCTGACAGAGGGCAGTCCAGTCTCTTCTTGAAAGCCTCCAGGGATGAAGCTCCCACAACTTCTGAAGGCAACTTCTGTTCCATGGGTTGATTGCTCTCACTGTCAGAAAATTCCTCCTTATTTCCAGGTTGAAGCTCTCCTTGGTCAGTTTCCACCCATTGTTCCTTGTCTGGCATTATTCAGGTGCCTTGGAGAATAGCTTGACCCCTTCCTCCTCTCTCTGGCAGCCCCTCAAATATTGGAAGGCTGCTCTCCTGTCTCCCCTGGTCCTTCTCGTCACTAGACTAGCCAAGCCCAGTTCCTGCAACTGTTCATTGTATGTTTTAGCCTCCAGTCTCCTAATCACCCTGGTTGCTCCTCTCTGCACTCTTTCTAGATTATGGGGAATGTTTACCTCCTTGAGTTATTTATGCAAATAAGAAAAGCTGGTTGAAAATACATCTGGGGTGTGTAACCTAACCTGGATCCGCTCGATTTCTGTCTTTCAGGAAACGGCCCCTCCGGAATCTGCTTGTCCTACCTCTTGTCTGGCAACGTGCCTTACGTCAGAAGGAATTCCGTTCATCCTAATCCGATCTTGCAAAGGAAATTAGAAGAGACCCCAGAGGTTCCCATAGTAGATCAGGTTGGTATATAGCCCAGACCTCTGTGGGGTGGGTTCTTCTTATCAAGCAGGTTTGGCTGCGAAGAAACTCTTCATTTTGCAAAAACAAGGGGGTTATCCTTTACTCCCAGGGTTTCATTATGGGTGCCAAACTCCTATAAGTTTATAATCATATTATAGAAACCAGCTGTATACCCATGCTTCGCTACGAAATTATGTGGTGGCGCTTAGCTTTTGGGGGTGGGGGGGAATTCTGCCTCTGCTTACCAGCATCCATCAGTATTCATCTGGCTAGCATCCTGTCAGTGTGTGAGAGAGTTGAGGGCTGTTTGGAAACTGAAGCAGTATTTGCTGTGTGAGCAAGGAGACAGCAAGGAGCCTGGGCGTGGCTTAGCTCAACTGTTCTGTATTAAAGCTGCTTGGTGCTGTGAAACTAAAACTGAAACTGAAACTGAAACTCCTCTCCTCTGCTAGTGTTTTTATTTGGACTTCTTTTCAGGTGGGGAAGGGGAGAACTCCTTAGCATCAGAGAATAATAATAATAATAATAATAATAATAATAATAATAATAATAATAA